CAATCTGTTGACATGTCTGCGGTGGCGAGCATCAGCGCGACTCAGCTGCAGGAAACGCGGCAAAGGAAGGTTTAAGGGAGGTATCATGAGAACAACCATGAATCAAAAAGCGGAAAAGGAGGGTAACAGCTTGTGAAGCACTCTGCAGGTACATGGTTGAGCGTCCTCAACCACTTCCCTTCCAGTGACCCAGCTTCGTTGGATCAGGTTAGTCACTGGAAGCCTGATCCCCCTGCACCTGTGGTGAAAAAGGAAGGCGGAACCCTTAGGAACAGGAACAGGGGGTGACACACACACACACATCAGAGTGGGCCAAAAAAGGTCACAACTAAGCTTTCTTCTTGGGAGTAATTGGACCGAAACTTGTTTGTTCTCTCCGGACTACCTCTGAGCTTTCTCACGCCTGAGGCATACCTTGGGCCGTACTCACGGGAACTGCAACTTGACGGGCACCCAATGGGGCAAAGGAACGCCCTACAACGACGTGGGCCCCTACTTCGAGGCGGGACCCGCCTGATCGAGGAACAACTAGTCTAAGACCGACCAGAGGCCAAAGCGTGGATGTTTCAACCATGTTCATTAGTCCATTTTCCTTGCCTCCAACATTTTGAGGCCTCGCCGGGCACCTTGCGTGGTCCCACAGATGGCACCTGTGGCCATGGTGCTGCGGCTGGGCGGGGTGCCAACACCGTCTCCTCGGGCTTTGAGGGTCCTTGGACCCGCACGCCCTCGCGGTGGACGCTTGGTGGATGGTGTCCTGGTGGCTTGGGTGATTTTCTTGGATCGCTGGTTGAAGTGAACGTAAACGGAGAGTGACCCGGAATAGACCGGACAGAGTACCGGACAGTCATTCCCGGCTGAGCTCAGAATCTATTGGGATCTATTGGGAAGCGTTATGTCCTTAGGTGAGGACCATGCAGCTGGATCTAATATGTGTATATTTTGCACACTTGGCATTGCTGCTTGATGTTTCCACTGAGGGCAGAGAATGGTGAGGGCACAGGATGCACTTGATTTCTATATCATATCCTACTGTAGTGACTATAGTGTCCGGCTCTCTTGCGCTCTGGAAGGTGTGGAGGCTCCCCACAACATCTGGGACTGGAAGTCTTTCAAAGAGGCCCTTGTTTGCCACTTCATGTTCTTCTGTAGTTGTACACCTCTTTGATGGTCCCTGAGCTGGTGCAGTGTAAGGTCACTGCAGAAGTTTCAAACTCTTACGTCATCGTCAAACATGCTCCACTGCTCCACATTATTAGTTACATCATATCTCCCTCCTGTTCACACCACCTCCATTGAAGAGCATAATATCTACAGAGACTCAGAGATGTGTTGATTACGCCAGGGAAAGGATTCTTGAACTCATTCAATGTGAGTTGACTCTACACGTCAACCCCTTCTCAAAGGGGCCCCGAGTAGATCCCTCATCCATCGTCATCCGTGGTTCCCATGCACTATGACTATGACCAATTTGATCTACTGCCCATCTATGACCAACTTGATCGGGTCGTTTGGGGCTCGCTCAATCAAGCCGGCATCGGAACAGAACATAGGATGCTCCCCTGACTCAATGGTTGATCCTTTTTTGAGACATTTCCAGTCAGTCTCCTTCACTCTAAGTTATGTTTATATAAAGTACACGGACTCTGGAGGAGGATTTATTCAGACGGAATCTCTGGCAAGGAACCAAGAACCAGTGGCTATAAATGTTCTTTCCACCCAAAAGTACGCCGAGGAACTACGATTTCTTCCATGCCATGCTGGCGGAGGAGTGGGAACCTGCCAAGAGCCCTTTCGGCAACGACCAGTGGCGCACGAAGGATCGCAAGAGCCACCGGATCGCGATTGAGAGTCGTTGAAACTGTGCACCTATTTGTACCCGCCATATAGTTTGGAGGCCATGGCTACTAGGTTGGAGGCCATCGCTAGTAGGGTGGAGGCCATCGCTAGTAGGTTAGAGGCCATTGCTGGTAGGTTGGAGGCCATGGTTGGTAGGTTGGAGGCCATCGCTAGTAGTTAGGTTGGAGGCCATCGGTAGTAGGCTAGAGGCCATCGCTAGTAGGTTGGAGCCATCGCTAGTAG